TCCCCAGTATAAACCATGTATATCAATAATTTAAAACTTACCCAGAAACAAGACAATAAGTTATCTGGTGTCCAAGACAGGGAGGTATTGTTCTGTATGACCCAAAAAACAGTAGTTTTTATGAAGTATGAGCAGAGAATGGATGTATTGGTCTGGCCATTAATAACTTCTTTCAGAAAAATTTTGAAGAGACCATAACACAAAAACTGACAATGATTCATTGAATAAACGACTTTTTGTTCTGCTTGTGAGAAAGAGATTCTCCATTCGAGTTCATTCTCTGATGTGCTTCCGATAGGGACAACATGAAATCCTCCTCTTAAAATACCATCTACAACATTTTGATCTGGCCAGCCCCGCTCCCTACTTCTTTCTATCCACGGTAGCGCTAACTTTGGCCAGTGATGTGATGGGATACAGAACGCAAAATCAGTATCAGCTTCTTGGAATAAGGAATATGTAGAACAAGGTCCATGAGGGAAAGCATTTGTCAAAGGAATATTGCAAGACCTAACGAAACGCAAATGGTTATCTCTGAATAATGTACTTGAAATGTATGCTTTGTTATTCACTTCTACGCAAGAGGAAATGGTTTGTGAATTATTAGATTGACTCATCAGTTTAAGTTTGGTAAAACCCGGTGGTAGATCATCATACTCCATCAGAATCACAGTGTTTTGTGGAATACGGTAGAGACTGATCTGAGAGAGATCACATATCACCTTGCAGTCCGGAGGCCAGAACATGAAATCTACATCTGAAGTTTTCAGTCTGAATCCCTCACGCCTACTCCCACTCTCCATTCTATCAAATCCCTTCAGTATGTTCACAGGCTGATTCACTGCCTCATCAATGTCCATCATTTCTCTCCTCATCCTCACAATTGATGGACTCCCTAATTTTAGACACAGTCCTACATAAACAGCCTCTGACAGGCGAAGTATGTTATCCATCTCGATAAATTTCTAAAGAATCAGACAGCAAACACATGTATCTGAAACATAAAGATTTAAACGTTATTTCTTCTCTTGCGTGAATTTCCTCAATATATATTGCGAGTGCTTAATTATTGACTATGAAATTATTGTTATGATTCTTTGGTGTTTGGGGCACTATTTCAAAGAACTGCGAACGATAGTATTGTTCTCCCGCCTACCTCCAAGTCAATTTTCAAAAGTTAACATATTCGATGAATTTTTTATATATTTTATAGATAATTATATGGATTTTCATGAAACATTACTTATTTGGGAAAACAAAGAGAGATAACTCTAAAATTTTGGTAAAACTTGTGTTTTTCACTATAGAAATCAATGGAAAACGGAAAATATTTTTAAAACATCTCCCCCCCCCCCGTGTCACAAAAATTCCTTTTTACAGGTAATATGGAATGGTATTTCACAAATTCATACTAAAGCTTTTTGTGTGACACGGGGGGGGGGCATACTTTTATTGACAAAAATCGATAAAAATGCTTATTTTCTACCAATTTCAAAGCGATAAACAACTGAAACATTATATTTTATTGAAATATTTATGTTTTATTTATTTGCCTAAAACATAAGAAAAGATATAAGGAACATTTAATCATATCCAAGACTATTTCAAAATACGGTGATGCTTGAAACTCCGATTTTAATGGAAAAGATCGTCTACCACCCTTTTTTTCATTAGCTGAAATTATGGATAATTTACTGTTTAAAGCTGGTATTAAGACAACTCATCAATTACCATTGAACTGTTCTTTGTGTTAAACAAAAATTTTATGACCGAATTTCTATTTATATTAAATTAAATGGTTCCAAAATGTAGGCGGGAATCGACAGTTAGCGTGCGTATTTCTTTACAATGAACAAACTTAAGGAGGTATATTGTATTAAATAACAAACATTAATTTCATTAAATTATAAGTACATTGGCCTTTATTTCAGAATACAATATTCTGTAAATAAAGTAGGGTAGGAGAGAAATCTATGTTTTGATATAATGCTAAAATATTCAGTATAAACTGGGCGATTTTTAGATATACATAAGAAATATATTTATCCGTCATATGATTAATGCGTATCTCTCGGTCAGTTGATTCGTTACACAAGAGCATGCTCTACGAATAAACAATTTTTGAAACGAGGTAGGCTATTGATATGCAAGTTGATGTAACAAGAAAACAGCAGTCTCGGTGAAAGTCACCATTTTGTAAGTTCTATGGTCGATACATTGACCTTGCCAGGGAATACTAACTCCTCTATGGCACTTGATCCCACCTCTGCTGTTTTAAACGTCCGTCTTTTCTGTGCTCCAAATTTGTATTGTTTGTAATTTTGAACTTCAAGACTGTTTGTTATGTAACCAGTTTTGTTGATATCAATTACAACTGCAAGTTCGTATAAGGTTAGATTCTATTGTTTATGTGGATGTCATCTGAGTTTCACAGTAAAGCATATATTCTAGAGTCAAGGTGAAAAAATAAATCCCTACATATGGATAGGTTAACTCAGATAAGGTCCCGTGTCACAGTATAGTGGTGATGTCTCAATATGAGTGAAAATTCTCGATTGTGACGTTAAACAATATCAAATTCATCAGTCAATCAGTATTTTGAGGAGATGAAACGAGGAAATAACTATCAGTATTCACGATCAAAAATACATAAAACAATACAAAAAATAGGAGCATAACTATGTAACTCCAAAAAAAGAAATGGGATCAGTAGCCATTGAGGAGTTAGTATCCCCTGCTGACCAGTCAAACCCGGTGTGTAGATAAAACCTATATTAGTTTTTGTTATTTTAGGGTTAAAAATTAATTTTTCTTTTTAAACTTTAAAACAATAACAACATAAATGTACACAGTTAAAAACATAAACAAGCACAATACATTACAACACAAAGCAATCACAGTTTTAAACACATAAAAATTCATTTAGGCCATTTCTTTACATTCCATACAAACACATTCAAAAAGTCGATAACTTTTTGAGCACTTAAATTAAAAATCAATGATGAATTATATTTCTCTCTGCTGAAATATTTACAAATCTTTATGAGTTTAATTTACCAGTGTATGAAATAAATTATAACTTTGTATTCCCTCGTGCAAGAATTATATACACCAGCATTATATTTTTATTAGAATTAAATCCCAGATCGTAATTCTAAAGATTTACATGAATGATAATTCATAATATCAATCTTAACTTTATCAAATTTAGACCATTCACTTGAGAAAATCTACATTCATTTGGCAAGTTTTTTTTTTTTAAAGACACTTTATTTAATTCATAATCTTTAAGTTAATAGTCATAAGATTTGATTTGTAAAAGATTTAATTACAGTGAATGGGTGTAATAATTTTTGGATATATTGTGCGGAATTCAAAACGAATATCACATATCAATTTTATGAGGGCGATGCCTGTAGATAATATTATCGGAGATAAAATTCCTTTGAAAGGGTGTATTCGCTTTGACAAAAGAATTGACCTATAGGAGAGAACAATTTCCCGGAAAAAGTTACATTCAAAAATTAATCTTTATTTGTTATTTTCTATCGTATATATGTCTAAAGTTTTCAAATTTGTATTTTATACCAAATATATATTATCTAAAACTGTACAATAAACCTCCAAAATTGGCCAAAACACTATTTTGTCCATTAAAGCGTTGATTTCTGCATGTATTTTGGCCGAGAAGTCCTTCAGGGCAGGCCTGCCCCTAAATAAAACTGTGATATTTTGATAGGTTGGGATGTAAAGAATAATTTAAGATAAGATTTTTTTAGGGGCACCCCTGCCCTAGGGTGGAAATTCACAAAAAAAACCTACAAAAATTAAGGAAACCTGATTTTGATAATCCGCTTAAAATTTATGCCATACAATTTTATAATCAGACTAGCTCAGTTGATATATGTGCTGACTTTTACATTGACGATGCTTTCTTTTTAAATTCGAGGGTTCGAATCCACCTGGTACCATACCTTTAAATTTTTCATTTTTCACCTTTTCAAAGACTATTTTATTTTTTTTATAGACCTTTGCATTTACTTTCAATTATTTATCCTTTATGCATGCCCATTTTTGATATAAGGAACACTTAAGAGAGATCAGATCGTAACAATCCAATGTACAGTTGTCAGTCAGGCGGAACAATATAAGCACACTTTCTCCGAGGAAAAGAAAAGCTCACTTTGTGTTACTCGATACTGGTATTCTTGGAAGCATTGAGCTGCGAAGAATTTCATTTGTATATATTCATAAGAATTTAATCACATTGACTTTGTTTACATATATCAGTAACTGTTTTCCTTGGATTTCATTTAGGCCTATATAATTTGCACACATTAATGGCATGTTTTATTATATCCACGGATAAATAGCCTGAACATAAAGAATAGAATTTCAGAGATAGTATACATTAACATTATGCACAATAAGAAGTAAAGAAAAATATCAATTATTATGTTTGGAGATAACAAACTAAGAAATCTATGAAAGGGTTCAGCTCCTATCTCTACTCACTGAAATAAAGATTTAGGGAAAACAAATTGTTATATTTATTCAGCCTAATGTCATTAATCAGAACGGAAATCGGCAAGCTTTTTGTAGAGAATAAAACCAAGCCCGGTCCTATGGGTCAGATCTCTATTTATAACGAAGTGATCCTTTGGTGTTTTCTGCAACTTTTCAAGAAAATACATGAAAATGCACGTTTTTAACATTAAAGTTAACATTTATAAATGCATGCAACAAAAATATTTTCTTTTATGTTTTTCGTGCATGTCATTTCATTATTCTTATAACTTTCATTTTTAAGACAATTATTTATCAATTGCAATATCACAACTGAAATTTCACGATGAAACACAAAAATGTATTTCTTATAAGAATGGTAAAAATGAAAAGTGTGATACCCAGTGAAACAGGTTGAACCTGCTGTTCTCTTAATTTTAATCTCTCTCTCTCTCTCTCTCTCTCTCTCTCTCTCTCTCTCTCTCTCTCTCTCTTAAAATAAAAAAAAACACATCATATTGTTTCTTTTCAAATTTGTATTTAATGCTGTATGTTGTGTGAATAGAAAGAAAATTACTTGGCAAGAGACTGTTCTTAGTAATTAATGCCCAGTGCCTGTGGCAATGTATGGCTGAATGAATGAAATTCCTGATTTGAAATATATAACATTGATTGACTGTAATTTCATCTGTTAACAGAAAGACCCTATTAGTTTTGTTTCTATTTTAAATTCTATATGAATCCAATGATACACACAACGATCTGCTTAATATAAACAAGTGACAATATGTGTACAGACATGTACATTGGGGAATATAATAAGGAATATAAGTGAAACGTACATTGAATTTATCCATGTACCTTTTTCCCTTGAAAATTACTAAGCTAAGTTTTCAATTCGAAAGAGAAAATATTCCTCACCTTGATTTTACTTTCGGGTTGAATTCTGAAGTCTTTACCTGTCTTCTATTTCTGGCAATGAATGACTCATCAATGTCAATACGTTAGAAATATCGACGTCTTAAAACATAGATCACATTACCTGTAAACTGAGAGGACGTGATTTAATGTTTGGCTCAATATCAAAATGAACACATTACTATAATTCAAATAATTATTTAGGTTTGAATAGGAAAATACT